TTAAATAGTGCTTTGAAATGCATGTGGATTTTTTAAATTTAAATTTGCTGCTTTGATAACATGGCCTCCATAAACAGTAATTAATTCATGTATCGAAATATATATCAATAAAATCTCCAAGTTATTTTCAGTTTCAGGTTCTTGCCTAGTTCGATCAATTTACAATTTCGTTAGCATCTGTGAACATTATCAGATTGATTTTACTGTTGTCATTATCTTGGAATCATTCTTTTATTTGCTTAAACTATTTTATTGAAGCTTAATGAAAGATCTTAAAGACTTTACAAGATGTTTTATCATTTATATTCCTGGAGAGTGAAATTTTGTGTAACCTTTCTATGTATATAAAATATTAGTTTCTAGATTTCCTTCATTTTATTTCAGACAGTATGTTCACTTTTTAGTGATCGAATGGATAAAAAAACATAATTACTGGTTCTCAAACAACTACTATGTAATTATGGTGTAACTCAGTATCCGTGTACATATTCATTTACTCATTTAAACTACATTCATTTTTAGTGTAATTACTACGGATAATTTCCTGTTATCAAAACTGGAGTAGATAGGGTAAATCCCGATTTTTTAAACCGTAAACTTTAGATTCGGAACCTACCAAGTAAACTTGGGATTAAATAGTTGGTTTGTATCACTATTTCTCATACAAATAGAGTAGCTAGCATTTAAGTACACAAAAACTCGTGCCTGGTAAATCATCTGATTTTGACTGTTATTCTGTAACTAACCAAATAATAAAGCCAATCAAATAAACAGTTTAGGTATTTATTTTGTCCTATGGACTATAACTATTCAAGAATTTGTTAGGTAAATTGTATTTACTTACTACAACACCTACTAAATATAAATAAGTAACTATGATCTGCCTGTTGATCAATTGTAACCAAATTTATTGACCTGTTACGTCATCACCTGATTAAATCTAAATTGTGATAAATTATTTTTCTCAAATATAAACTAATTGATTGATAGAACTTTGAATATTTAATTTAAATTAATGCGACCTTTCAATACTATTTAACAGATTATTTCATTCACTCATATGTAAACAGTGTTTCTTAAGTCTTTCTTAAAATAATTCATCATTATCTTCATCATCACAGTCGCAACTTCTTTCATTGTTATGTATTATTGATTAATTTGTTCATCTATCTATCCGTCTACCGACATATACATATATGCATCAGACCAAGGGTAAACAATAAGAAAACTTTTGTTCCATGGGAGATAACAACAGATGTTAAATATTAACTAATGTTCAATATATTCTTTTGCCACTTTTCATTTTTTATGAAGTGTTTCCTTTATTATTACTATGAGTTAATGTATGAATATATGGTAAAGTTTATGCTTGTGTGAATGTATGTTACTAGTTTATTTTTTCAAAAAATGTAATTTGCTTTTTATGAGTTATATTGTCATTGTTAGTAAATAAAAATTATATATATAGAAATGAAAGAGAAAGGCGAATAAAACAAAGGTAAGGTTACAAGAATTTTTATCTGAATAACAAAGTTTCATAGTTGAATTTTTGAGTCTATTGAAGCTAGAACACTATGGAAAACCTAGAAGTACTAGACGGCTGTTTCGTCATAGTATGGGATTCCTCAGCAGTGCGCATCTACGATCCCGACTCGCGAGATCTGAACCCAGGACCTAGCAGCTTAAAAAAATCTTATTTCATTACTGGGGAAATTAGTATATTATAAAGAATTCTTAACAAATATTAAAGGGACTTATTAAACATCTTAATGTAGTCTATTAAAAAAATAATTAGTTATTGGTTTCATGTCCATTTGTCATATTCAACGAAATATTTACTTTAAAACTAAGTTGACTGATAAACTACTCTTGGAGATAAATTTTTAATATTAGTTAAAGTTATTTGTATACTGAGGGGTTATTTCCTATTAAAGTACGGTCGTATGAACGGTTCAGGTTGTATGATTCTAATCAATGGAAAGTAAATAATAAACATTGTTAAATGTGCATAAATCAGCCTAACAAAGTATAAGAATATGAAATACCATTTAAAATTAAGCATTGGTTAATTATTAGAAATTAACATAATATTATGAAAATTTTTAAAGATATATCAGTGCAAGTAATAATCTGTATTCAAAGTGATTTTTTCATGCATAAATTGTGAAAATATTTGCTTATGTTTGGACTGTTCATGTTCTACAAGATGATAATATGATGTAAACATTCATCAGCCTATTGCTAAGTACCATACTAGACCGAAACGGCCATTCGACGCTTCCAGACTTTCAATAATGGTCTAATATCGATCAATTAATAATCTCAATCAAAAAATTATTTTAAATATAATTGTATAGGTTTAGTAAATGATAGGATAGGAAAGAAAGTTTACTTCGCTGGATTGCACATTTTTCAAGATTCTAATATATTTAATACATTTAACGATAATAGTTTTGTTTAGAAAGAATGGTTTATGTGTATTTTAACTTTAGAAGATGCATTTAAATGATTTTAGAGTAGCTTTATTAGAAATCAACTGAACCAAGATGATTTATTCGTGTTTATTAAGGCACAATTAAAAGATACTTGTTAAAAATCTTGTACTAATTGAGAAATTTTCAAAGAACAACAAATCTTAGGTGATTGGAGTCAATTAGAATGAAGTTCAAAAGACATTATTCCCCACAAGCTTAGAGATATATCTTGATTAAGACTGCTGCTTAGTATGTGACGTAGATAAAGGATTTTCTACTGATTATCTCCCACCATATGACATCAAAAATTATAATGTATGTGATGTCAAATCAATTGAACTAGTGACTATCTTGAACATTGATCAATCGAATTTTTTTTAGCATTAAGGATTGGACAAAAATGATTTTAGTTACTATTCAGTAATTATTCAGTATGATTAGAAAATGTATCTTATTAGATAAAAATATTAAACAACTTTTGAAATTAAGAGATAATTCATATTATAGTATTACTATTTAATATAATAGTTAATCGTTGTGTTTGTTTTAATTCGCTAATTATTGATCATTGTAACCAAAAAAGATATTTCAAATCATACTTTGCAATTGATTGATCACTGGGTGGTGATCAATCCCATGCTTGTCTAGTCCTTATTAGTGCAGATCGAATGCTATCGATCATGTTGCAATGTGGCCACCAGTCTAGGTGACTCGACACTGCGGGCACTATGTATTGAGATTAGATGGTGGTTGGAGGTAGTCAACAGGAAACCCTGGACCCGGGTTTCGTGCTACTTGGCACTCGTCAGCAAGGTGTACCTGTAATATTGAGGGAACTGGTGCTCCCTGGCGGATTCGATCTCGTGTCACCCAGCTTCACAGTCAGAGACGTTACCACTGAGCTATCCGAGCCGTGACTAACCTCCTGTAGGACTGAGATGTAATCACAATTGATTGATCACTGGGTGGTGATCAATCTCATGCTTGTCTAGTCCTTATTAGTGCAGATCGAATGCTATCGATCATGTTGCAATGTGGCCACCAGTCTAGGTGACTCGACACGGCTCGGATAGCTCAGTGGTAACGTCTCTGACTGTGAAGCTGGGTGACACGAGATCGAATCCGCCAGGGAGCACCAGTTCCCTCAAGATTACAGGTACACCTTGCTGACGAGTGCCAAGTAGCACGAAACCCGGGTCCAGGGTTTCCTGTTGACTACCTCCAACCACCATCTAATCTCAAATCATACTTTGTTTTATTAATAAATTTGGGTTGGTGTACCATAAATTATTTACTATTAAGTAGTGATATTTTTATTGATTAATATATCCCCCTACAAGATGTATAATAGAATAAAATTTGACAATATTTAATATGGAGCACAAAGATTATTTGCTAATTTGTAATAAGGATAAAATCATATGTTCCATCAGAATATTTCACAAGTATAAACAATAGTTTGTAAATTTATGAGAAAATTTCTGTGATAAAGCTAAATCTTAGATTGTTTCCAATTAATTTTTATTTTTTTATTTTTGTAAAACTAATAAATGAATTGTTTTATTGAATTGGGATTTGTACAAGACATGATGTTATAGGTGATAGATTAGAACATAAGGATGTAATTCTGTGAACTTTGTAGCTTAATGACCATCATAAAGTTGACTGGTTTATTTATTATTGGTCAGTATAAAAATTTACTATTCACGTTTTTTTAGTTGTTAATACAGGCTCGGGTGCCCCCTTCACTTACTCCCAAATGCCCTGGTACGGCCGACAATGGGGAGAGAAATCTTTTCCTCTCCAAATGCTCTCACATGGCCATGCGTATACAGGCACTGCCAGGGAAGTCCTACTCATTGTCTTCTCGTGGTGAGGGTGTTGTTTACGAAATTGAATGTCTGGCCAAAACAGATGGTTTTCTTAGGGGGTCACAACCGGAGCCTTCGACCTAAAGGTCTGGTCCACAAGACAGTAGGGAGATGCAGTCCCATGGTAGCCGGTTAAAAATAATTTGTTCGTACGCCATTTGTTCCTTTAGAATACTGGAGTTCATGTGCACCAATCATTTGGAATCAGAGTTTTCCAACTCCCAGGTGGGTACTCTATATCCACCAACCTGGTAAAAGAGTCGGACGTTCGATCTTTGTCCTCTCAATTTCGTAAACAACACCCTCACCACGAGAAGACAATGAGTATGACTTCCCTGGCAGAGGCTATATACACGTGGCCATGTGAGAGCATTTCGAGAGGGAGAGCGGACTCTTCCAACTCTCGGCCGTACCAGAGCATTTGGGGGCAAATCCTCCAATACCATTGGTGATTTACTATCTCAGTGCAAACTTAACTAACTCTAAAAATCATGACTTTTCATTAGAACATTGAGAAATTCTTTGAAAAAGATGCTTACTACTGAGAACATGATGGTTTTGGTGACCTTTTTTATTTACATTCAAAATACAATTTTATGAAACATTTAATTTGAAAAAAAAATAAATACCTTCATAGTTTTAGTAAATAACTCACTTGCATTGTTTTATCATACCAACGATTAGCCGCATTAAATGAACTACCCATTCCATGTAATAATTGCAAAGCTAATGAAACATCATCACGTTTATTTAAATTGTTTGAATCATTTGTTTCATTTAAAAATCCATTAATATCTGTTGTTTCATCTAGTTCTTCAACTGCTTGAATTGGTTTGTCTAAACATAATACGAACATGCTTTTTGCAATGGTTTTTAAATTTCCTTCATTTTCTGGATCTAGTTAGAAGAAAAATGGATAATAAGAAGAAACAGGTGAATAAAGAAGTGTAGAGTAATAGGAAGAACATGACATTAATCACTACTCAGTGGTCGATCAATTGTAAATATTTCAGTGCTATAGGAGGTCAGCCACTACCCGAATGGCTCAATGCCGACGTACCAGACTGTGAACCTGAGTGACATGATCTCGAACTCATTATGGAAAATTAGGTCCCTTAAGATTACAAGTACACTTTGCCAACTAGTGCCAACTAACACAAAGACTAGGTTCAGGGTTTCCAGTTGACTAACTCCAATCATCAAATATTCAAAGGTAGTGCATGCGATGATGAGTCATTCAGATTAGTGATCACACTGTAGTTTATCGATAGAATTCAACTATAACTCAAATATTTGTTTTTAGTCCTTTATTGAGAATATATACATATGTAACTTAGATAAAAGTAGTGTTCTATTCCAGATAGTTGGTGCCTTTCAGTAGAAATTCTGACACTATAGATTTTTGCTGGTTGGCACTTGTTAGCGTTGATGAGGAACTAGGTGCTACTCAGAGATCCGAATAAAAGAAATATAACGCTTTAGTCAAAAATATTCTCTCTAAACTGTTTAATATAGTTCAACCAATATTAAGAAAGTGGGCCATATAACATTGATTAATACACAGGAATTGACTGATGTTCATCGCATATGGATATGATATGTCGGCTACTATACAAAGTTCTATTTTAAACTCATCATATTCAAGAAAAAGTTTTATTGCTAAGTTAGTTTACCTACGTCAATTAGTTATCCAATAGATTTAGGTGATACTTTTTTCCCCATGAACATTGAGAGAATATTCTATTTCTCTTTTAAATTAACAATAACTAATTATATTTATATAACTACACAGTTTATGATGAACTTTGTAATTTGATGTTAACTATTGTAAAGGAATAACATCGATTGGAATACGACCAAAAATAAGTAGACATAATTTTACCTGTGTTAGGGATTTATCTGTATCTATTATATTAGTAGAACTCCATGAAACTATTACACACTATCTAACAGCATGATAAGCAATCTAATTGACTCCAAGTGAAATATATCTTAAAACATCATATTTACCAATTTTAAAGAATTATGTACGAAATATGTCAACTGAATTTAAGAAAACAATCTTTGTATTTATTATTTAAACCAATGAATATAAAATAATGTATCCCTTTGTCAGTAATATAACTGGGTATGTTCGAATATTTAAACTGACTGAGATTTATTGCTAGAAGAAATTGTTTTCTTTGTTTACAGGTATTTATTTTTTTAATAGAAGATATATATATATATATATATATATATATATATATATATATATATATATATATATATATATATATATTAGCATAATGCCTTACCTTGACACAATTGTTCATAAACTTCTGCCCATTTATTTCTTGGTAGAGCTGTTAACGCACCAACTCTTGATTGTACTTCCATTTCACTTTCACCAGCTATTGACTCTTCAGCGAACTGTGTAACACGACGTAACTGATTATATATATCTTCTTCACTTAATCTACTCCCATTAGTTATGACATCAGTAACGAAGAACTATGAAGAAAAAAACATTGAAAATTCTAGAGAAACTCCACTAAAAATGTCTAAATTTTATTAAGTTTGAATTAATATAGATCATTCTTAGTTCGAAAGATTTAAGACAATTATCGTAAGTATTTTTGTATTTTGACTGTAAGTTATATCTTGAACTGAGATCACCTGGAGATTTAATGAATATTAGAAAGCGTTGGATATTTGTCTTATCATAGTTTACAGCACTTCATCAATCCTCAGTCATAACGCAACATCGGATCGGGCTCAGTATTTTGTCTCTACTATTTTTTTAAAAGGAAGTGCTGAAGGTTCGACATTTAACATATAATTTCACAGTGGCGTTAAGTAAGTAATAGCAATCAAGATATATTGTAGAAGTATTTTATTATTATTAAAGCAGCCTCATGTCAATAATAAATTTTATGCTTAAATCTATAACATTTAAGTCATATATATACATGATTATCACCCAGTGTTAGTGGTAAGTAACTACTTCACTTGCAGTATGGCTGAACACTAGTTACATCTTTTGATTAGAATTATGGGGCTTACCACTTTTTATTTGAACACATAAATACCGGTGCAAGAGGGCACCAGATACAAATGCGCTACACAAATCTCATTTGATTTGTGTGAGGGCTGTGATGTTGCCCGGGTGCTCAAACCGAAACAGGTGGTTTTCTTAGGGAGCCACACCCGAAGCCTTCGACCTAAAGGTGTGATCCACAAGGCAGTGGAGCGTCGTAAGGAGGTGCAGTTCTATGGTAGCCAGTGACCAGCGATTGGTTCATATGCCATTTGTTCTTTTAGAATACTGGAGTCCATGTGTACCACTGGTTTGGAATCAGTGTTTCCAACCTTCATAGGTGGACTCTCCGTGTCCACCAATACGGTCGAAGCGCCAAACATTCGCTTTTCGTCCTCTCAGTTTCGTAAACAACACCCCCACCACGAGAATGCAATGAGTAGAAATTCCCTGGCAATGCCTGTATAGGCGTGGCCATGTGAGAGCGTTTCGAGAGGGATAGCGGACTCTCTCCACTCTCGGCCGTACCAGGGCTTAACTCTTATAAGCATATGTTGTTTATTATTTTAATATGTTGTCATTATTGTTGAATTTGAAGTTTGGCATATTGGAACAATTGTAGTTAGACTACTACTTTTCTATCAATGTTCACAAAAACATCAGATAGCTACACAAAAGATTGTCTAGAATGAAATAGTTCAATATGAAACCTAAATTTGTTGGGAATGATTCCTGACGAAGTCATAAATGCATACTGGTAAGAAGTCGATATGTGGATAAAACAATTGTCTAGTATGTAATTGTTAGTTCCCGATAGTTACCGAGTTAAACTCAGGTCATAATAAACAATCTGTATAAACCTTTTTTCTAAAACTAATAATCATATATATTTATCATCTTATGCTAACTAATTGAACTTTGAGTATTTTCTTTTGGGGTAACAAAATAAATGGTAATTTTTTTTGTATTTAATAATTCTTCTCTAAGAATATGTATCCTTTCTATATAGTTTTTATATGATTCTAACGAAAAAATATTTCATCAATAAGATTATTATGTCATTATTATTATTATTATTATTATTTCAGTAATTCGCCTATTGAGTATTATGAAATCCACTGGTAGATAATGACCCATTATTACTCCCATGAGAGAAAAAAAGGAAAGATGATTCAACAAATAAATATAAAGAAATAACAATAATAATGCAATAATTTTATCAGAATAATCAACAATCATCTTTATGTTACTTATTTTGTGTATATTTACCAAAAATGATAAAGTTTAAGTCAAACCTATCTGTGTAACTCAATACAGAAGATTATTCATAAGTATGGGATTAAGCCAAAATATGAGAATAAACAGAATAGAAAAAAAACTAGAACACTGATATTATGAAAACAAAAATTAATGATCGTCTAATCAATCATTTAGTAAAAATATGAATAGAATATATAATTGTTTACTTTGATTATTCTAATCACCGAGACAAATCCAAATGAAGATAACTAGTGTAGCAGCAGCCTCTGTATCAGTAGACCTTGACATACACAAAGGAAAAAGCAAGATCTTCAAATGCAACACAGAGAATAATAACACAATCACACTTGATATCGAAACTATGGAAAATGTGGAATCCTTCACATACCTGTGAAGCATCCTCGATGAACAAGGAGAATCAGATGCAAACGTAAAGACGAGGATTGGAAAAACAAGGGCCACATTCCTACAATTGAAGAACATATGGAACTCAAAACAACTGTCTGTCAACTAATATCAAGGTCAGAATCTTCAATACGAAAGTTTAGACAGTTCTACTATACGAAGTTGAAACTTGAAAAACTACTAAGACTCTCATCAAAACTGTACAAGTATTTATAAATAGTTGTCTACGCAAGATACTCAATATCCTTTGACCGGATACCATCAGCAAAAGCCCACTGTGGGAGAGAACAAACCATCTTCCAGTTGATGAGGAAATTAGGAAAAACGATGAAAATGGATAGGGCATACATTACGAAAATCACCAAAACGCATCACGAAGCAAGCGCTAAATTGGAATCCTGAAGGGAAGTGGAAGAGAGGAAGGCCAAAGAACACATAACGTCGGGTTATAGAAGCAGATACGAAAAGGATGAATAACAACTAGAAAGAACTGGTAAGGATTGCCCGGTACAGTGTTGGATGGAGAATGCTGGTGAGCGGCCTATGCTCCTTCACAAGGGGTAACAGGCGCAAGTACGTAAGTAATCACTAAAAAAATATAACCAACTGCTTTTTTAAAGAATTGTAATTTATTATTTTAAAACTAGACATCATTCCTTGATATAAAAAAGAATATATTTTTTAAAAAATTACCTGATCTAAATAAATAACAATAATATGTTCAGGATCGAATGGATCTCTTTCAGATGTTGTTACAAGTATATCTTTAGTTTTACCTGGATAACGATATGAACTAAATAATCGATAATATTGTTCCATACAAAATGGTTGACCTTTTTTACTATGCCGTGCTCGATCGATTGGAAGTGAACGTCTAAAACAGAATAAAATGAGTTTATAACTTCTTAAATTAAAATATTTACACATAAAAAATATCATACTGAGTTAAGAAACAGAATATTACATAATTAATTCATTTATATTTTGATGGTATTATTAAGTAGATGAGGGATTGAACTGAAATGATTCTAGGTGTTAATGTTCTTGTTTAAATGTGGAATGACTTATGATATGTTTATCTGTCAGTTTGGAATTGTGGAGAATGTTGAATTTTACTGAGATCATGAACCTACCAATGGTGGTCATTGATGGTGGATCCACTAAACAACCATCCAGTACTTTGATGTTTTCAATGGTCGTCCAACATTGATCGGTTCTTTATTTCAATGTGTACTTTTATTTTTTTTCTCTCAGAAAATTATAATTTGAACTGTGATAACTGATGACAGAAAGTTCATTGATACACTAACTGCTACCCGTATTAAAAACTTAAGGAAGTTGATCGTTTTAAGTTTCAATTAAACATAACCCTGTCATTATATTCAAATTGAGTTTTTTATTGTGATGTACGATGATTTTCATTTTTAGTCAACGTGAAACAGTATGTTCGTTTCACGCGTAACGAAGGATTGACTTTTCATTAGTTCTGACAATAACTACATTGTTTTGTTAAGAGATTCAAAAAAGAACTAGCCGATTACCATTTATTGAACCATGGGAAGAATCGAGCCAAAATATTATTACATGGTACAAAACTTAATCAAAGACCCACACTGATCGTTTAGAAGAATACTGAAAATGTTATTCCTGATATCAGATGAAAGCTAAAAAGCAACGTATGTTATGTTACTGAATTTATTTTGTTGGGCAAACCAGATCAAATTACCAATGTTCGTTACGATCATTGGTTATATTTGATAAAACAGTTATAGAAGTTTGGCAGTAAAAGTTCTTGAATGGTTTATAGAATAACCTTGTTAACATTTATTGTTATCGAATCAGTTTAACATAGGTGTATATACTAAAGTGTTAGGTGACATCTCTTTGAATCTATTATGACAGACTCTTTAAATCCAATTTACCACTGAGTAAGAAAGTTAAAATGCTATTCGAATGATTAAAGTTTATTTTTAAGTTATTTTGCGAAAAACGATTGGATACCTACCGAAAAGAAATTTATGCCGTGTGTAATTAAAGTTAATACAGCAGTAATGTGGTATCACTTATTACCCACTCATTGTATTTTCTGTCTATTTATAATAAGTTGTACAAATCGTTTGAAAATAAAATGAAAACGGAGTAATTTCCAAGAACGTTTATGGTTAAAAAACAAACCAAAGAAAAAGAAACCTGTAAACGTTTAAATTTAGGATGATAAGAAGCTATTTGTATTTTATATTATTGTCCATAAAGTTAGTAGTACTGTCTAATGTAAACGTGGAAGCACTACACGGCCACTTCGTTCTAGTATGGAACTCCTAAACAGTGCGCATCCATGATCCCGCATGCGGGATTCGAACCCAGGACCTTCGGTCTCGCGCGCAAATGCTTAACCTCTAGACCACTGAGCCGGCATCTTTACAGTCTTCCATCCTGATAAAAATTATGTGGTCATTATAGACTAGCTTCAAGATAGATTTCTTGGAGTTCCATTTGGGAGACATGACCAGTGGAGTCCTATCCGTGTCAGGTGTTGACAGTTATCTCCCACAGACCATGAATGAATGGTTGCTCAAGGTCAGGGATTGATTAAAGTTAGATATTAACACCGTTGGATGTCGGCTCAGTGATCTAAAGGTTGAGCGTCCGCTTACGGGACTGGAGGTCATTTGTTCAAGTCCCGGGTGCAGGATCATGGATGGGCACTCCTAAAAATTCCCATACTGAAACGAAACGGCAGTCCAGTGCTTCCAGGTTTTCAAGAGTGGTCTAGCTTAAATCGACTCATGATACCAAGTATTAAAATTACTACAATCTCTACAAACTCCCATTCTGATGATTGTCAATCAATTTCAGTATATGGTATAATCGGGGACCATTATTTGAAAGAATAGCCTGATTACCATGATAGTTAAAATTATCTGAATTCTATTTTGTAATACTTTATGAATTTCTTAGAATAAATAAGAAACATTAACCATAGAATATAGTGAGTAAACGTTTAGTTTTTGATAACTTAGTATAAATTACACCATATAAAATCATAATCACAAAATTTTCTTTTCTTTGCTATTACTGTTCATATTATGTTTGCGTATATTCCAACTGACTAATTAAATTTTATTAAGTAAATAAATGCAAAGAAAAATTGTTTACTTTGAAGGAAAATTGTAAGAAAAGTAAAGGAGAAGAAGGAAAGAAGTACAAACAATCATTATCATCAGTGAATTTATCATTATTATTTTTCTTTCTTTTTTTAACGGAAGTAAATCTTATCAGAAAACCAAGAGAAAAAGAACATTGTTCAAATCTTTTTAAATAAAGATCGCTAGTTGCTAGCAGTGAAATCCAGTTTGACGCGCGTTTCGTCCTATTTGGGATTCGTCAGCCGGATGCACCTTCATCCCAGAGTTGATGTTCACCTGCTTGTGCGGTGGTGTGAAGGTTAAATTCACTTGGTATTGTTTTACTTGAATCTTTTTCATTGGTGTTTAGGACTGCAGTTGATTAGTCTCTGATTGGCATATGTGCATACTGTTCGTATTGCCTCGATATTGCCTTAATTTACAAACATTATAAGCAAAGATGTATAGTTGATAGCAGTGGAATCCAGTCTGATACGCGTTTCGTCCCATTTGGGACTCATCAGCTGGATGTACCTCGATTCCAGAGTTGATTTTCACTAACCATCTTTACTTAAGAAGCTTGTGACTTAAGGCTATATCAAGGCAATTTAGCAAAGGATACAAATATGCCAACATGAGACTGATCAATCACAGTTCTAAATAACAATTGGAAGATACAAGTAAAACAACACCAAGTGAATTGTTCAAATCTGTTTTTTTTCGCGGTAAAATTTTATTCTATTTTTTATTAAAATGAGAAAAGAAAACAGGTGATAAAAAGAAACTTAAATGTAATTTGATATTCATTGAAGGTTGAATTGATGTATGTATACATCATCTTTTCTATACCTTACTTTTTATCAGATATTTAATATTAAAGAAAAGAAAAGAATTTATACGGTTGATATATCTATTTAACGTAGAAAATAGGTGATTATATATATGTCTAAATGTTGAAGAATATTTTCAGGCAAACGATGGGAAAAAAATTTTTTATGAACTTTTTGAAGTGGAAAACAGGTCAACAGTATGTAGAGTTTTTTTCCCTCTTCTCCTGTTATCAGTTTTCTTTAGTGAGTTCCCCTCCTTCTTTTTGTGACTCATTCATGCATTCACCATAATACTCAGCTGTTTGATTACATGATAAACACAATTAACAATTATATATATACATACACACACCCATACCAACAAACAAATGCATACATATACGCTACAACTCTACTTATTCTATATCAATGCTTACATTCTCTGTAAGTATGAGACATTAAATTGACGTGCAAACAAAGTAAGTATTAGTTAAATGCATGCACAGCTCTTTCTATGATAATAATAATTATTGTCATTATTCATTCAGTCTTCCATTCCGATTCCACGTGTTGTTGTTTGTTAGTTTTTTTTCCGCAGCAAAAGATTGTCACGAAGTTTAATTTATTGAAAAGTTTAGTTAACACTTCAAAAATCTCATTAATTACAGAAAGAAGAGTAGTGAGAGAAACGGAGATAGTTACAGAAGTGAAAAACGTTACTGAATTATATTTACCGATGAAGAAAAAAGACGGATACTTTTCTGGAAAAAAAGCATCGTCAAAAATCCAAACTAATTTGTTTCTTTATCTTTTTTTATCTATAAAGTAATAATATTATATGAGTTCATCTCATATTTTTATGGTATTATCCACTTCATTCAATACCGAGATGACAGTGACTAGTAAATTTGAATAGTGGCTAGCATTGGGATACAGAATACATTAAACAAGCTGGCAGTCATTTGGAATCGGTTAAAGGTACTGAGCTAAAGTTCTGATGTGAGCATCAACACTGAAATGCAAGTACATTCACCTAACAAGTCTTAAATGGAACAAAATCTGAGTTCTGGGTTCTACTAGTAGTCACTATCCAAATTCATTAAAAACTAAATCATAATGTTCATAAAATTCTTTCATAAAACAGAAATACGAAAAGGAAGTAGTCAATCGAAGTCTTTTATATCAACAATGAAAGAACACAATCTTTATAAAATAAAACAAAAGAGATTAAATATGAAACTTTAAACCTTTTACTCAATAAGAAAAATAAAATTTGCTTTATTTTTACATAAATATCACCAGTAAGCTGAAATTTTCGATTCAATGTTCATTTTTATTTACTAAGTCGGATATTAAAACAAACATGGATCTGTTATTTTTTAAGCGAATTCATTTTACAATATAATTTGAGTTTTGCTATTCACTATATTTAACAGATATGAATATTAAGATAACATTTTATCAGTCTCTTAACCATTATAATGACTACAATGATGGCTATCAAAACTCAGTAGGTAAATGAATAACGCGATGGCGTTTAAAGCGAACGGTCCCGGGTTCGAGTCCCAGAGTGAACATGAACTCTGAGACGCAGGTACATCTAGCTGACGAGTCTCAAATAGGACGAAACGCGCGTCAAACTGGATTCCACTGCTAGCAACTATCCATATTTTTTGCTTATAAAATCAATGTTTGTTTATAAGTTTTTATTAAAATGTTAAGTTTTATTATTCTAATAACCAGGTACATATTAACAATTCCATTTTAGGTTTGTATATATCGCTGATAAACTTATATTGTGTACACTGCTTCAAAGTTAATAATTTGAAATTTAACAATTTCCCTTTCAATATTACTAAAGAGTTTTAAATTAGATCATATTTACTATTCATTGATGAAGTTTTTTCAATAACCTTTCAGATAATTTACATTAAACATTTTAATGAAATGTATTTCAGTGCTGTGAAACGGTTTATATTCTTATAAGAAATATGTTTCACTAAATATACAATTTCTAGACCATCCAAACTAACTTTGAGATCAATATAAAATAGTTCGTTCATAGAAACTTACGTATCTAATATTGTTTTATAATCAAGAATTCCAGAAATCAGTTGAGCAGCAAATCTAATATAGATAAAACAAAAAACATAGATGAAAATAATGTATAAAATTGTTTTATTCATCTACCTAATCAATTTAAAAGACAATGTATTATTCACTAAATATGTTTGAATTATAAGAAATGTTCACGATAGACTTCATTCGATAGATTATGTAAAGGTTTAAAGAATAATAGTTTCAGTTAAATGTAGATCATAATCATATTATTATTATTATCAATTATTCTGTAAAGTCCATAAACAACAGCCCTGCCACGAGAAGGCAGTGAGTAGGACTTCCCTGGCAGTGCCTGTATACACGTGGCCATGTGAAAGCATGTGGAAAAAGAGAGCGGACTCTCCCCACACTCAGCCGTACCAGGGCATTTGGGAATTGATTTTCCGGAATATTAATATATAAGTTAGTTAAAAGTGGTGAACAAATAACTATATGCTTTCTTTATTCTGATGTTCTCTTACAAACACTTATGTATTGACCAATAAGATGTATATTAATCAGTATAAGATGTAGTTAGAACCATGTGTTATTTTCTATTCTTAATTGAATTACAACTCAGGTTGGTTCATTTTAGCCATAAAGTAAATGAACAAAATTAGATTGGTGAGAATTACTAAGTACAAATAGTTACCAAGGTATATTCAGTATACTAAATTATTTCATTTCAATGATAAATCATACTATACATTAACCGTCGACATGTTATATTACTCCATGTGATGTTAGCCGCCTATAATACTCATTCCACCATGGAATGAATTTCTTGAAGGTTGTTTATTACTTACAGTTCTACATTAAAAAAATTTGTATGAATTAAAGTAAGACCGGTTTCCTCTTAATGATAGTTGAAACTTAATATTTATATTCCTGACAGAATATAATTCAATCGTTTTGAAACTGTTTATTCAATTACTGTTAACCAGGTTTGAATTGGATTCACCATGGAGTTCAATGTATATTTACAAAACATACAGTCCTGTCAATGAATTACTTCTATGATTTTTAAAACAAAAAGTAAAACGAATAACTATAAAATACAATTATCTAAATAAAATCCTCAATGTGAATCACTCATCTTTTCTTAATGAAACATAAGAGAAAAATGAATCAATCAATAACTGAGTTAGTGAAGAGCTAGTCTTACTAGTTCATCAAAATACAATGATATGAAACAAACAAAAAAGAAGCAATTTAATGCTTGGAGCATTCACTAATGAGAAATACAAAGGAAAAACGAAACACACACTTATCTGTTATATGATGAATATATATCAATATTAAAAGGTAGTGACTAGTCGAGTGTTATAATGATTAGTTAGATAGATACATAGGATAGGCAGGTAAGAATAGATAGTAGCAGATGGTAAAAATGAAGTAAGGAAAATTGAATCAAATATAGGTGATTGACCAAGATATGAGAAAACATTTCATTGATTGTAAATAAAGATGAACATTTTCAAAGAGATGAAAAATAAAGCATAACAAGACACTTTTATAACGCAATCGACGTTGACTATAATTTTAGTAGAGTTTCTTCAGTTTACTAAAAAAAAACCTAATTGAGATAACTAAGGTGAATTTACAAATTAGATTACGATATTACCCCTGTTTTTCTTTCATTATTTTTTTAACCCAATCCCACTGGTACATGCATAAAGAAAAACACACATAAATCCCTACTGAACTTCACCCTACATATCTACCTACTTTCCTACCTATCTACCCATCATCAGTGGTAATTTAGCTAATGAAAAAGCCAAAATTATACTTGAAGTAGATGATGAAAGGCTGTTGAAAGAAGTCGGTTCATCTTGAAAATGAATAATTTCATATTACTTGGTACTTACTATCCTTGGGGCAATTATATATATATATATATATATATATATATATATATATATATATATATATATATACATTCAACTACATGCAAACCTACACAGTAGGCTTTACTTAGTCTAATTTTATTTACTGGGAGATGATATAAGTGGTGGTGAAAAGAAAATAGAAAAATAGAAGACGAATAACGTCATAAATAAAAATAGATTTTCTTCTTCAGTGCAAATAAGTATATGAAAGTAAAGGAGAACATTGATATTTTTATATAAAAAAATTTCTAAGGTGTAGAATACTTTTCAGTATCTGTGAATTAAGCATGTTTAAACTCTTAAATTGACAATATTTCTCGTTGTGACCTGATATTAACTACGAAGTCGCTGAAAATCAGAAAGATTTACATGTGAGCCTTTTTTTCATTCTTTGGAACTTATTACCAATGTGTATTCACTTAGATACTTGAAATTCACTACGAGGCATCAAGATTAAAAAATGAGGGCAAACGTCTAATTTATGACATCGTAATATCGTTGTTATGGATTTCCTATCCCATCGCTCACTTAACCGAATCAATAGATCACTGTGTTTATTTCCAAGTCTAGCCACTTGTGAAAACATGATAACCACTAAGTAAGGTAACTTTATGTATGTTTCGTATTGTTAATCTTAGTTTCACCCGTGAATGAGTATTTACGAATTTAAAGATATTCATTTCATTCGGTCAGTTATTCGAATGTAACAATATTTTGATATATTATTAAACTGGTCACCCCGAGATCGAGAATTCACATGTCAAAATGATTAATATTTACATACCAGACTAAAGTTTTTGATTATTGTGTAATGAATAATATCATATTAGTCTAGTCTTTAGTAGTAACCGAATTCTATCAACCAATTAGCAATTCGGTCACTAGCCTAAATGACTCAACATCGCGTGCACTATTTTGGTGGTTAGAGGTAGTCGGTATGAAAACCTAGACTTTATGCAACGATTTTTATTTATTAAAATGAAAGAAAAGAATGTTTGTCGATTGATAATATTTCAATGATACAATATGAACAGGTGATGGCTGTTCACGAAATCGAATTAGTAATACAATCCTCAAATACTTTAAGATCAAAGGCAAGACAACTGAATAGAAGAATATGTTTTCTTCTGTAGCAAAATAACATGCTTATAAACAAAAGAAAAAACACGACTAGGAGTATTTTGGAAAATAAATGACTAAGGAGTATGAGAACTATAAATCATTCACTTTCTAATGGAATAAATCCTTAACTAGTAGGGTAAATTCTAGCTCGTCTTATCACCTTCTCTCATGACACGATGTTCGACCCTCACGTAGCAATATTGATAAAGTGGTGAAACTTTTGACTTTATTCCTTCAAACCATATTTCTCTTATATCTACAGAATATAAGATACCCCTCCATCAAACCTCTCAATTTTAAGGAAGGATCAATTCTTGCCTTTACTTTCTACCTACTTTCTAGACTGATCAGTTAGCACGTGAATTAACTGGTATTCAGCATTCGGTTCATTTAAAAGTATTTTGATATATTTCATTCGTTATTGAATTAAATGGATGAATGATGATTTCTATTCATCCAGCGTAATGGGCATCTTAATTGATTTTCTTCCCCCATTACCTCTTGAAATTCAACATTGTAACCAGAAGTTTATTATTACTGAAGCTGAACTTACGAAATATGTTAAACTGAGGAATGAATAAAGTTAAACTGTTATAGCTGAATTGAAAATTGTTAATAAACCTTATAACCAATTCATATAACCACTGAAATATGGTACTTGTAGTAAGAAACAGTGATTTGTACTAGATAAAAACTAAAGACAGAAACATACCCTATTCACTTTCTGAAAATACAGCAATCACTTATTAATCAAATCTACTCATTTATGTACTGATTTTATTGATATTTGATATTTATTCAATATGATATATACAACTAAGATAATGTCAGCCTGAAACACTAAATTGATATAAACAAATACTCTGTGTCATCATAAATGTACATTACGGCAAATGAATTAAAAAGAATATTATCTTAAACTAAAATATGACTTTTGGTCTATTAAAACTCATGATCTCAACTACTGAAATTACTACAATCTCCACAAAACCCCTTCTGATACTAATCAACATATGCTCACTAGTGACTGGCTTCAGGAGATATATCCTGGGGTTCTAGTGAGAAGCAGTGACCAGTGGAGTTCGACCGGGTCAGTTGTGAGGTAGTAACTCACTGACAACAATGATGGATGTGTCGCTCAATTTCGTGGATTAGTTGAAGCTAGACATTAACACCGTTGGATGCCGGCTCAGTGGTCTAGTTGTTTAAGCGTCTGGAGCGAGACTGATAGGTCCCGGGTTCGAATCCCGCGGGCAGGATCGTGGACGCGAACTTCTGAGGAGTCCCACAATAGGACGAAACGGCCGTTCAGTGCTTCCAGGCTTTCCATGGTGGTCTAGCTTCAATTGACTCGTGATCTCAACTGTTGATATTAAAACTTTAACAGAAATTGTTAAGTAACGTTATTCAATTTTTTTATCGATATTCTTGCAATGTCTAACATTTTACCAAGGAAATGAGTAGTTCTGTTAAATGTTTTTGATTGATATCATTTCGGAAGGTGAAGTTTATCAAAATTATTTGGTGTACATTTTAAAATAATTCTAAACAGGAATGAAATTTTTTTTCAATGCTGATAAGTTTTACTCTTAAGAACTACAGATTCAATACTATGTACACTATGGTTTTTTTGTTTTTGCTGAGATCTATAGAATATTTCAGTTATGTTACACTTATATGTGTCCTATTTCATGAAATTAACATAAAGCTCCAAGTGCCTTGGTACGGCCGAGGGTGGGGAGAGTTAGCTCTCCCTCTCGAAATGCTCTCACATGGCCACGCGTATACAGCCACTGCCAGGGAAGTCACACTCATTGCTTTCTTGTGGCAGGGGTGTTGTTTATGAAATTGAAAGGATGAAAAGCGAATGTCCTACGCTTTAACCGGGTTGGTGCATACGGAGGATCCGTTTAGAGAAGGTTGGAAAACCCTGATTTCAAAGCAATGGTGCACATGTGCTCCAGTATCCTGGTGGAACAAATGGCGTATGAACCAACTGTTGGTCACCCGCTATCATGGAACTACATCTCCTAACGTTGCCCCACTGCCTTGTGGATCAAACCTTTAGGTCGAAGGCTCCTGGTGTGACCTTAAGGAAACCACCTGCTTCGACCTTGGCACCCGAACAGTATACCAGCCTACACACAAATCAAGTGAATTGTGTGGCGTATATGTATTCGGTGCATTTGTACCAATATTTATGTGTTCAAATAAATTAGTAATAAATAAATTAACATAAATGTATCATAGTTAAGCTTTTATATTCACCTAAATATGTTTTGACTCTAATTGACTCCTACATATTTATGAATTCAATGAAGAATGATTTCATAACGTTAAAAATTCTTTTTTTTTCAACTTGACAGAACATCCGGTTCTAATACGTTTGTGATAACAGAATCATAAAACAGGTTACATTAATAATTTGTTTTTGCGATTATTTGTATGGATGTTAACATACGTTACGAATATATATATATTTGGAAATGAGAAACTGAATCATGAGAGCTTGAGTTCCGTGATTATGTAATTATTTGTCAAACTTTATGTATTTTATGAGTAGTAACGGAAATATGTTTATAATAAATGAGAACATCTAAATGTCGGTAGGGAGACATTCGATTATTTAGTCGAAACACAATTTATATTCATCATATTATCAATTTGGATGTCATCTATTTTTACCAGATATTGTTATTACTATTAATCAATACAAAATGAAATTGCAGCTTTTATCCTGACGCATCTAATTGTTCATGATTATTGAAAAGCATCTGAGTTATTTGTTTAAACATCAAAATTGAACAATGACTAAAACTTTTACAGTATTGAAGGTACTATTTGACCGTTAAATAGTAATAATTGTCATATTCGTCTAGTTCTTAGTTTTGAATGAATGCCATCTATTGGAGTGCAATTTATCTATTATGTCTATGATACTTTTAATTTGAATCTTTAAATTCTTTAGATATCAGATTGACAGAATGAATTAAGTTACCCAACTCAAATACCTATATTTTTTACGATCAAACCGCTTGCAATAAAATCGAACACTAAATCCACTCCGCTTTCAATCTTATAACATTTTCCGCAATTTTACTTTCTTTATGGATTACAATTCGCCCATTGCTAATTAACACCAAACTACTCAATGTAATTCAATCATTTCAAGTACAAAAAGATATAGAATAGATATTTTTCATAACCTAATATGAAATCAAATGCTTTGAATGTTTTTAGCGTCTTCCATTAGACTAATAAAACATTGAAATGTAACTATTTACGTCTTGAAAATTTAGTGGTAAATTTTACTTTACATGTGGATCAACGTGTAACCGTATAACACTTACAAACATTAGTTGTTTGAACTGAATCTAACTGAATGAACCAAAGTTAAACTATTTACAAATATCTAGAAAGTTTGAAGTGATTTTCCGATGTGAAAAGTGATTTTTATCAAAAAATATTTTCAGAAGGGAGTTTTTTGGATATTTTAGTAATTTTTTTATAATTGAATTCATGAATCAATTGAAGCTAGACTACTATGAAAAATCTGGAAGCACTGGATGGTTGTTTCATCGTGGTATGGGACTCCTCAGCAGTGTGTATCAACGATCCATCCTTGCGAGATTTGGACTCATGACCTATCAGTCTCGCGCACGAACGCCTGAGTTCTAGACCACTAAGCCGATATCCAACCAGTGCTTCCAGGTTTTCCATAATGGTTTAGCTCGACTCATGAATTCAACTATTAAATTACTATAATATCCATAAAACCCTTCTCTAATTATAAGCAAGATAAACTCAAGTTAATCTAGTAATTTAGTATACTTAATTAAACTTCTATTACTAATTTATACTTAACTATTACTTTTACCCAAACAAATGTTAATTAGCTAGTTAGTTTATTTGACAAAAATAATAAATTATGATATACCTAGTTAATTAATTTTTGTTTTGTAATTGTTCTCGTTAATGTTAAATGTATTTTCGTTTGTTTGTTGTTGTTGTCGTCGTTTTTTACTCCCTGGTTTATTATTCTACTACCTTTTTTTGTCTTTTTCACTCATTCATTCCATTATTGTCTAACATAATGAGATGTATTCAAGGTGAAAGGTCGCGAATACAATTAAATAATCTTATAGCCTAAGCAATTAATAAATTTACATGAAGTCTTTATTGTTAAGTAATGTGTAAATAAATAAAAAAAACAAAGTTGCGATAGAATAATAAAAAACGATAAGAAGAGGGAGAAAAAAAGACAATGGTTAAAACTGGGTGTGTCATATTGTTCTACATTATTCTATTCATAAATAGATGGAATTCATAATTTAGGTGATATGATGAATTAAAAGAACAAAAGTAGATGAATTTAAATAGTGTATGGTAGTGAAGATTAGTTTACTTAAATGATGAAATATGACACATAAATATTACAACAAATAAAGATGAAAGACAAAGAATCATTTTTTAAAATGTATAAACTATATTGTATAGATATTCAATAATAAGGATTATGGTGAGATGAGAAGTGTTGATTTTGAGCTTTTTCGAATTTGATCAATTCCCGATATATGAGTGTTATATCGTGACAAGAATTATGAATGGTAACTCTTCAGAACTATCTATGAATCAATACGGTACATATATTTTTTTATTGTATAGTTACTAAGTAACTAAACTATACATATTCACGTTCTTCTTATTATAAACTCTATTTTAGCTCATGGACTATTATTATACGAATTACCATTCTTGAGTTATGTCCAGTCTATCAGTTACTATCTTTCATATTCATAGCCACGTTTGGTTAGATCTTGTACAAATTTTATTTTATATTTTATGGTACGATGTGGTCTGTTTGGTTTTAAAATAAATCCAGTATGTTTGAAATACGTGATTTATATCTCAGATGCTGAGATTGATGTTCTGGACTGAAGGATCGATAAAGACTCTAGACTATTCGTATGCGTTATTAGTCCGGTCGATAAATCACTGTTCTCTAATTGGCGGTATCATTACGTTATATATTAATAGGGCACAAAGTCAATAAAGTATAACAATAAATACTATCAGTTTCTAGATGTAACCGTTAGGCAATCATAAAAGTGAGAAACATAAATAAAATTAAACATTCTGGACAGTGGTATTAAAAGTGTCAAGTACGCTGTCAAATGTGTGATACCGTCTATGAGATATAACTTATATTAAAGTTCACATCATAATACGTTTTACCATTAACCAATAAATTTGAGGTCTTAGGTTCAGTAAATCTTCGTAAACTTATATATATATATATATATATATATATATATATGTATATATATATATATATATATATATATATATATATATATATATATATATATATATATATATATATATATATAACAATTACATCTTACCTTAACTGTTGTCTTGTACTAATGAAAGAATGACGTGGAAATACCATACCTGGACTAGAATTAATTGGTAATGGTGCCGGATTTAATAAATACATATCATCTAACCACCATTCTGTAACCTGTTATACATAAATATTTAAATATAATGAGTAATTAGTATAAAATAAAACAAATGTAAATTCACTTTAAATCATTTAATAAAATACGCTACATTTTCTATGAAAGAAGAAGAAGGAGATAACACAATGTTATATTGGATAAGAAAAATAACTAAATTTTGTTTTATTTCTTTTGTTTTATTTTTTCTTTCTATTATAAATGAATAAGAAATTAAATGTTTATTATCTATGAAAGAAAAAAATCTATATTAGAGTGTAGATAATTGCGTATGGGAATAGTTACAGGTGCATTTAACATTGATCATCCACATCATCATCATCAACAATGATGATGATGATGAGAGATTTTTCATTCTTCCCAAATAGATAACAAATGAGAAGAATGATAGATACAATAAGTAACTAATAGAAATCAACTAGAGAAAGAAACAGGCAGATAGTTTGATGAAATGAGTTATGTTATTTCCCTTTCTCTTTTTTTCTCTTTTCTTTTTCATGAAAATACAAAATTTAGAAAATGATGGTTTATCTCAAGGAGGAAAAAGTGTTCATTATGAAAGTATAATATATTTAGAAAATGTGAATAAATAGCGTAGTGTTGATCCATCAGTGCACTACAATGATAAGCATATTAGATGCTTTATGTAGCAGAATAAATTAATGTGTTGTATTACTTCTTTTCTCAGCCATAAATTCTTACATTTAATCTGATGACAAAATTATATATTTTGAATGTGTCATTTTTATCACATCAACTGTCCAACTTAAATCGGTTCATGATCTCAATAGAAATACAACGATCCTCACAATCCCCATGCTGATAAGTATCATGTTATCATTAGTGACTAGTTTTAGGAGGAACTTTCCAGAGTTTTGGTAAAAAGCACTGACCACTACAACTAAACTGTGTCGAATATAGATAATGTACTCCACAAAGACAATAGAAGATTACTACTCAATATCGTGGATTTATCATCGTATCTCAGTTGAGTAGTTTAGAAGTTGAAGGTTTACGTGCAAGACTCCATGTCTTGAGTATGAACCTCAATGGTGCGGTTTTCAATATTCATTGTTGAGGAGTCTCATACTAGGACAGAACAGATGTTCGGAGTTTCTAGGTTTTCAATGGTTATCTAAATTAGATCACTCCGTGATATCGGTAAAAATTCAAATCTACACCACCCCCATACTTATAATCCTATGTAGTTTTACGTATGAAAAAGGTGTAATTAAATAATTAGTACAGAAAGCGTTTAGAAATAATATTGTGTTATAAGAAAGGTAACCAACCCAAACATTTTGTTCATTAGTTTCATCTTCTTACAATGTGATCTAGTCTTAAGTTTTGGTCTAGTTGTAGTCATTAATTTTATGATACATTTACCTGGTACCATGACCAGGTCAACTCGATCTCCCATCACTAAAATCAGTTTAAGGGATGCTGTAATTGGGGTCGATCTTCAGATTTTTTGTACTTATTGAGTGGGTGTACTTAAGATCTCAACGAAGACTTAAAAATTAAAATTTGATTTTATTAATGGGACTATAATACATCTGTACAAGAGCCTTATGATGGATGCTTTTACGAGTAGACTATTATCGCTATTATTATTATTATTATCATTATTATTATAAGAACTAAGACAAAATTTTCATTTTCGTGGTTTAAAACACGAACCAACTTTAGGTAGTCAACAATTGAAAAACCGGAAGCGTTGGACTTCCGTTTCTTTCTGTTGTGGGACTCTTCAGAAGTGCACACTAATGACATCTCAACTGGAGAACAAGCTCAGGACAATCAGTCTCATGAGTGAGTGCTTGGCCTTTAAACCTTTGAGTCAACATCTTACTCCGTTAGTCTTAATTCAATCAATCCATGATATTGAGTAACCCTCATCCTTCATCTAAGATGGATAGCTGACGCCTACCCGACATGGTTGAACTTTACTGGTTACGCCTCCTCATTTGGAATTCCATTTTGTATTAAACATTTTAATATACAATTTTGGCTTATTGATTAAAGCTCATAACCTTGAGCCATATAATATTTCTAACTCTTTATAAAGGACGTTTTAGTTTTACTGATGATTTTTTTCAGTATGGGGTTGTGCAGATTGTTGAATTTCGTCGAAATTATTAACCGATTAATGTTAGACGACCCTTGGAAACCTGGAAGCATTGAGTGGCCGGTTCGTTCTAGTATGGGAATCCTCAACAGTGCTCATCCACGATCCCGCATACGAGATTCGAACCCAGGACCTCTGGTCTCTCGCGAATGCCTAACCTTAGTATTTTGTTATATGTAGGACTCAGTTGGCATGAAATTTTCCATTATTAATCTTTAGCATGAGTTAACTCAACGCTGATATTTTGTCTGTTGTAATACAATAATGATTTTGAATTTACAACTGTAGAGCCTAATGAAGAAGTTATCAAAAACAATTGTTCGCGATATAATATTGATTGTTTTACAAATAGAAGAGTAATTGTACACTGTCTAGAAGTAGAGGAATGTGAAAATATTTATAAATTCTTTTTTAGTACTATCTATTACCTAATAATATTAAGTTTTAAATTTAAACAGAACAGAATACAAGAGGTATTTTGTTTAACGTACCCAATTGATCTTTGTCTTTGCATATTGTTTAAGTAAATTTTGTAGTTCTTCTCCTTCTCCACCAGATTTGCCGAATTCTTCAACTAATAGTTTAGTTCGTTCATAATCTTCTTTTGAAACAACTGGTGCTATTAATCGTAAATATCTATCTAATGTATTATGTAAATCTGGAACCGGTAATCTAGGAAGTGGTTTCTGCATATGTAGTCGGAAGAAATGTAAAAAATATCAAAATATTATGACTAGAATATTAAAAATAAAGCAACATATCGAAGAATCATTAGCAAACGATTTTAAATTTAAAATGAAACGGAATACAGTGTGGTTAGGTAATCCTATAAGAATTTAATGAAGTTGTTATGGTGGATTTAATCGTGAATTGGTATCATCAGAAGTAACTTCAAGAATCAAAGAACCTTCACTAATAATGCACATCGATTTAATCACACAAGGGTTACTGCCGGTATTAAACTGAGATAGAGGAGGGGTTTGGGCATGAGGTTAACAACGTTGCCGAAAAAACGTTAAGTAGACTAAAAAATTAAACCATTTAAACTCTGCCCTCTAAGTTGAAGAATCTGCATACACAAAAATAATGACAAATCATGGTAAAAGCCGAGATTCTTCGGAAGTCACGAGGTCAATGCTCTTTTAACAATCAGAACAACAGTTGATGTGGGGACATGGAATATCGGGACAATATGGGACAACGGAAGAATCTATTAAATAGCTGCGGAAATGGGAAGATGACCATCATACAAGTTTAGAGATGGAAAGCATCAGGACCTGACAACATACCGGATAAAGCATTGAAGTCAGACATAGAAGTAACTGCAAATGTGCTCCACGTTCTATTTGGGAAAATTTGGGAGAATAATTGTCACTGACAGACTGGAAAGAAGGACGTCTTATAAAGATACCAATGAGAGGAGATCTGAACGAGTGCGAGAACTAACTACAGAGATACCACACTACCGTCAGTGCCAGGAAATGTTTTCAAGTGAGTATTGCTGAACCGTATAAGAGATTCAAAAGACGCCCAACTTCGAGATCAACAGGCTGGATTCCATAAACATCGTTTGTGCACAGACCAAATCGCGACACTATGAGTCATTGTTGAGCAATCAAGTGAATGGAATTTTTCACTATACATTAACTTTCTTGACTGTGAGAAAGTGTTTAGTAGTGTAGATAGGAGATAGATCAGTGGTAACGTCTCTGACTGTGAAGCTGGGTGACACGAGATCGAATCCGCCAGGGAGCACCAGTCCCCTCAAGATTACAGGTACACCTTGCTGACGAGTGCCAAGTAGCACGAAACCCGGGTCCAGGGTTTCCTGTTGACTACCTCCAACCACCATTTAAATCTCAATACATAGTGCCTGCAGTGTCGAGTCACCTAGACTGGTGGCCACATTGCAAAATGATCGATAGCATTCGATCTGCACTAATAAGGACTAGACAAGCATGACATTGATCACCATCCACTGATCAATCAGTTGAGATAGGAGAACCTTATGGAAACGTCTTCGACACTACGGTGCACCTGAGAAGATCTTCAACATCATGCAGAGTTCACACGACGGACCACACTGCAAAGTTGGGCAGTCATCATCAGATACAACATGTAGAACATTAACGCGATTACACTTGATAAAGAAGCACTGGAGAAGGTGGAAACTTTCGTGTACATGGACAGCATTTTTGACAAGTAAGGAGGATCGGATGCAGAAATGAAGGCACGAATCGGCAAATCAAGGACAGCATTCCAACAATTGAAGAATATATGGAACTAGAAACGACCGTCAACCAATATCAAAGTCAGAATTTTCATTACGAACGTCAAGACAGTTCTAATGCACGTAGCTGAAACGTGAAGAACTACTATTACCGTAAAGGACGTTACTCACATGATTGTTTGTAAGTAGTGGAAAGAGCAAATGTATTTACGAGCAATTGTCTGTGCAAGATACTCAATGTCCATTGTTGACCAGATGACATCAGCAACAACTGCTGTGCGAGAATACAAACTGACTTCCAGTTGAAGAGGCAATTACAAACAGACGATGGGGGTGAATAGGACATATAGTGCGGAAATCAAGAACTCGTCATGAGGCAAGCCCTAACTTGGACTCAACGAGAGGAAAGGAAATGAGGCAGATCGAGGAACACATTGGGTTAGGAATTGGAGGCAGTCATCAAAAGAATTAACAACAATTGGAAACACGTGGAAGGGATTCCCCAGGACAGAGTTGGTTGAAGCATGCTGGTGAGCGTCCTATTCTCCTCTACGAGGGGTGGCAAGCGTAATTCAGTAAGTGTTGATTTTAATGAAGCAGTGAATCAAAACTCTATATTTTTAAATTTCCAAATCGAATTTTACTCAATTATATGATATTATCATCACCATGAGGTTGTGTGATATTTTGAATGAGCACTAGAAAAAAATATTTTATATCATAGGAAGAAGAAGCCTTCAAACAGTTTCCGCTGCTTTTTCTATGAATGTTTATTTTTTAAAAACGGTCACCTTCAAAACATTTTAAGGATTCTTTATGAAGTCACATTTTAGGGTAAATCTACTCAATAAGCGTTTAATATAATTTTATTCAAATATAAAGAATCATTTGCTGAACTAAAATTGACGCAAAATCTAAAAAAACTTCTTTTAAGGGTTGGCTGTATATTAGTTTCTTGAATAATCCATTTGTTTAATAAGGAAAAGTTGAATTTTCGAGAAATTAGTTATTGTTATGATCAAGTAATCATAACATTTCTGAAATGTAATTAATTGTAACTGATTACAAGATTAGTTTAAATAATAACTAGAGTAACGATTTAATCTTTGAAACTGGTGAAATACTTTGCTTTTTTTCTTGTAAACGGCCTAGATTTCCTGTTTCAGTGGACTTAGTTGTCATCTATATAAGACCAAACTCCTTCTGATAATAATCATCTGCTCACTAGTGACTGGCTTCAAGAGGTATTTCTTGGAGTTCTAGTGAGAAGCCGTGACCAGTGGAGTTCAACCAGGTCTGTTGTGAAATATCAGCTCACTGAAGACAATGGCGTATGGTGGCACAACTTCATGAATTGGATAAAGTTAAACATTAACACTGTTGTATGCCGGCTCAGTGGTCTAATGGTTAAGCACTCGCGCGCGAGACTAAGAGGTCTTGGGTTCGAATCTCACGGGCGGTCCGGGATCGTGGATGCACACTGCTGAGGAGTCTCATACTAGGACGAAACGGCCGTCCAGTGCTTCTAGGTTTTCCATGGTGGTCTAACCTCAATTGACTCATGATTTCAACTTTTGAAAATACTAAAATCTCCACAAAATCCCTTCCAAATTATTTTGTTGAAAAGTTTAGCCATAATCAATATATATTTTTAAAACTCAGAAAAGTTATATATGTTTCAATGGTTCTACGTGTGAAAAATAAAATAAATAACTTGTATATATTTAATCCTAATAACCGATAATTACCATGTGCTTACTAGTGACTAGCTTCGTGAAAAAATTCTCGGAGTTCTGGTGAGAAGCCGTGACCAATGGAGCTAGTCCGTGTCGGGTAGAAACAGGTGTCTTCCTCAGTAAAATGGAAGATGGTCGCGCAACTTCGTGGATTGGTTGAGGTTAGACATTAACGCCATTGGATGCCGGCTCAGTGGTCCAGTAGGTTAAGCATTTGCGCGCGAGACTGAAGGCCCTGGGTTCGAATCCCGCGGGCAGGATCGTGGACGCGCACTGCTGAGGAATCCCACAATAGGACGAAACGGCCGTTTAGTGCTTCCAGGTTTTCAATGGTGGTCCAACATCAATCGGCTCATGATCTCAATCAAAAAAAGCTCAACAATCTCCATAACCCCTAAACTGACATTTATTTATAGTTTACACTTAGAAAGGTGATATACTTTTGAAAATATCCACCTTGATGTGATACGATATAATGAGATAATATTTTAATTGGAGGTGGTTGATGTGAAAATATGCTTTAAATTGCTTTCATGATCACTGGTCAATATATATATATATATATATATATATATATATATATATATATATATATATATATATATATATAGAGAGAGAGAGAGAGAGAGAGAGAGATTTACCCAAAGAGATTTGTACTGAGTGGCTATACATCTTTTACTTAGATGGATAAGATCTGGAACTCGAACATTCAAATATACATTTATATTCCATCTGTTATTTTCATTCAAATTATACCTTTATTTACATAATCAAATCATACACATATATATTCTAACTATAATCATATTTTGCACCGTTTTGTATTTAAAACAATTAAAATTTAATCTTACGTTACATTTTTTTCTTGAGAAAATTAATGCCTAAAGATAAAAGATGTGTTCATTGAAGATAATTCTAAATGTATTATCAAATTGTAACTCTGTAAATAACATAATATAAGTATCTCATTGTAATGTTTCACTATAAAAAGGTGATCGTGCTTTTTTGTTGTTTGTTTGTTTTCAACCAATCTTGATTTAAGCATTTCATGTTTACATCTCTCTTCATTTTTTAATGGGAATTGTTCCGTTAGCTTAGTTATTTAATGTAATATGTTGAAGTCATCAGTACTTGGAAAGATGTTAGGTTGTTAGATTAGCTATTGCTTAGAAAGATCTATCAAGTCATCTTGACTAGTATCGTATATGTGTTATTTGATCTGTATGCATTATGTAGAAAGTATATTTCTCATAATTATTTATGCCTAAGTCAATTTAGATGTTTATGAATCAAATGGAATAAAACAAGTTACAGCTGATTACAAAATTTTCAACTATATTTATTCATGAAAGAACATCTAGCAGTTTTGAATATTTAACCATGAATATTCGGGAGAATTTATCTATTCTAACAAAACTATTTGAGCCAATTCAAATAAGATGTTTTTTCATACTTGTAGTCAGAATGTAAAGTACTATTCTTGAGATATGAAGAACATCTGTTCTATCTCTATTAAGTAACAACCACATCGATGGTGTCAAATAAGATATGATAATGTCTCAGAGTTCCTTAGGTTTTGAAGGTTCATCAGTTGAATGCAGTATATAACGAAAACTATCTTAAAATTGAATTAATCTATACAACTGATTGACTTAATCACAAATACCCTTTCTATTATAAGAAAATGGTCACTTTTGTGAAATCCCACAATGAAGATGAATATTAAATATTGATGAATCAGTAGGATTTATAGTGGTAACTTTTGTTAGTTCGCTCTAGTAAACAGAAAAGACTTCTTGGATCTAAGTTTTCTGTTAGTTGGCACTCGCCAGTGAAGTAAATTGACTGTACTAATAAATTTATTGTTCTTGTTAGGATTGAAATCCTTTTCTAGCAATGTCACAGTTTTAAACCTTACTACTAAGCTATTTTAGTCACAGTTGATCGTTTTAAGGCAATCCATAACTAAGTAGTGATCAAACAAATTTCATTATGATACCAAGTTACTTATATTAGTGTCTACACAGCACTTTGATTAATAAAACTTGGTTAGTACTTAAAACTACACAAAATGATATCAGCTATTATAGAAAGACTAATTACTGTAGTTTTAAATACTCTTAGTCCAATTCAACACTTATTCATAATGAACAGTCGAAAAAATAAGATCAAATCAAATCAAATCAAGTACACTTACATTTCGACAAATTCCTTTTAACTTAGCCTAAAATTATTTTGAATGTAAGAATTTATTTTTGATATACATATTTGTAACATTTTGTATTTTGGTATATCCCTTTGAACGGTCTTAAACTCTCATAAATGTGTCGTGAAACTATAGTTATTTTATGTAAGTTTGAAAATAACCATTTTTTTTATTCTAAGAGATGCTCAGGTTAATTACTACCCATTAAACGATATTCATTTAAGAATAGTTTTTGAATATATTGATATTGAAGACTATATTCAGAAATGTTTTTTTACAAATGTAAGAATTGAGCTTCCAACTTAACGTAATTTTATTGAATATGTTGGAGAGATCCAGAAACTTCCTCGAAAAAAGCTTTAAAAAAGGCTGTGAGAACTTTGAGAAACTCCTTATGCAATTGGCATTCAATAGAAGTTTTGCCAGAAACATCTAGAAAGTGAAAAGCCACATATCGTGTTTCTGATTGGATGATTACTTATACTACTACTATGTTTCATAGTGTTCCGGAATTTTCCAGAAGTCCAGAGCCATCCAAAATGCTGTAAAAGCCCTAGATTTTCTGTATAAAAACGAGTCTTTGGAGTAAAGTGTTTTTTCCATATTTCGCACCTTTTCTCTCGTGTTCAAGTCATTGTGTAAATTTAGCCTGGGGGCTACTAGAGGAGCTTAAGAACCGAATCTAGAGTCCAATTAAAAGACTAATACCATGGCTTGTAAAATAACCAAATACAATTTTTTGTAATAATTAGTCTAATCATTGTCTTTGTAGTTATTTGAGAATAAAACCTATCAGCATATATTTCACTGTTATACTGTATATCTTTCAAGATTTCAGTCCCTGGTTTAGAATTTTTTTAAGTTTACTAAGCTGTAAGAAAAAAACGGTTGATCATATTTTAAGTTTCAACCGGTTATTGACGTATATATTAAAATGTTGTATTTCAGTCTGTCAATAATCTTTAATAAACCAGTTTCTAAGGTTGTATTTTTAAAATGCCATTCACTATGAATTCAAATTAACTCATAAAGTAATTTCTGGAATTCATGGAGTAAGTTATTCTTCTGAAAAATAAAAGAATCTTATTATTAGTATCTTTGAACCTGTGGGGCCTCTCATTTTGATGTCAATTCAATCAGATGATTATCTGAGCCTAACATAGTAACCGACGCCACAAACTCATTGTTTAAAAGTTATCAATCTTAAGCGTCGAATGTCTACTTCAAAATAATCATGAATTTTAGAACCATCAAATTATGTGACAAACACTCCAAATGATTCCATTTAATAAGCTCTAAAAAAGACTTGTTCAAAAAGTTGTTTATCTATGTATAGATATTATGTTCATAGGATAAAACTGAGGAAAAAGTAACTTCAATTGAATATTGTTTGAGTTGTAATAGTTGTCTTCAAAAATTCATAAATAAATATAGAAATACGCTAATTTACGTACACAGTTATAATCTAATAGTTCATACCTTTATTCTTCAAATTATTAACAGTAATGTGGATGAAATATTTTTGGCAATTGTAAGAACTTGATATTTTTTCACTGTTTGATTGTCGATTAAGTGACTGTTTTAAAGATTTTATTGAATTACTTGAAATCGCTATTACTGATCACCATACTAAAACATTTCAGGCAAAATTCAAGATGTTTTTTTATTATTAGTCACAACTGGCTGAATAGATGGTGCAAGTCAGTGATTACCTATAAGTCACTTTATGATAAAGTTTAAAACAATAATGCTAGTCGATGGGTCTAATTGTTTCATATATCAGTGATTAGTTTAAATATCAAAATTAATGTTGTATTTGTTGCTTACAACGAATTTATCCTGAATTCAGTAGCTGCTCATCAATTGTATACAAACTAGTAGTTATTGTTCTAGCTCCATAGAAAAGATCACTGATTGAGTACTGATAAGAATTTCCAGTTTAATAAACAAGTTCTATAGAATAGACGTAATATGAGCATTTCATCTTATTTGGAACTCCTCTACTGGATATGCATTCACCTCGTAGTTGATGTAGATCCCACTATTAACAACATTCCATCTATTGTATAATAATTCGTTACATAATGTAATTCACACAGAATGCACATATACTAACTAAGACAAATGGAAGTTCAGTAAAAAATATCACTGGCGAGATGATCCAAGAACTAATAGAAATTGGATTAACAATCAGTTCATTTTCATGTATTCATGATGGTTAGTAGATAATTGTTATTTCCTTAGAAATATGAAATTCATACTTCACTTGAAAATATATCTAAGTGAACTTAATTTTGTGACATAAGACTGATTAAAGTAGAGTGGTAAATAGTCCAGTCAATTTTTTTTCAAATATCACTTCAAAATAGACATCAAGTACAAATTGCTTGGAAGAAAAATCACAAACATTTCAGTAACTTAGCACATTTATTGGATATAAATAAGAACACTTACAGACAAATCCCATTCTGGATAACGTTCAATATCTAGATTAGATAAACGTCTGACAAATTCTTTAATTGGATGAGACATCTAACCGAATAAAATATAAAGAAAAATAAATAGATATTATATTTATTTGAACGATGTTATTACTTCGTTTCTTACAACAAATAGAAATTTTACCTTACTATTTCAACATAAATCTATGCTATTATTTGAAAGATCTTAATGCTACTAGTAATAGTCTATTATCATTTGATCTTCTAATAATTAAATGGTACTTATGAACACTTTTGAAGGTGTTCAATATATATAATCGTTACAAAGAATTTTATAGTGAATACTTTTTCAGCTTATTTATTGAGTATGGTTTTAAGTAACGTTATTTGATATGTATGATCAAATGACAACTAAAAGTTACAAGATAACTTAAATCATTATATATTTCAAATATCATACCTTTTTTGATATACTGATAGAGCTGATATTACAGTTTAATATGATTTATTATATAGTTCAAGTATAATACAGTCAATCATTATATTACTTATACAATGATACTGAAATCATTTTCCTGTTCAACGATTGTCACTTTCAATTATAAGCAATTAGTCATACAAACAAGAAAAGAAGAGAAGAGGATACTATGAAATGGGAAATAACTATATTTTTATTCAATTACTAATTCTAAACGTAACCCATACTACTTTCATCATTTCAAACAATCATAACAATATCAATATTAACAAACAAGCAAATGAAAAGATCTTTTTTTCATTTATACAATATCATTTATTATTCTTGGCATCAGTTTCAACTTCGTCTTCATCACTTTATATAGCTTTCAACATAATTCATGATAAAAATAAATAAAATAAAGGATATTAAATAAAGAAAAGGATAAAAACAAAAGTTTTATGTGTAAATAAAATGAGAAATTTGTTTAAATTAACAATTAGAAACTATTCCGTTGAATTTGCGCGAAATTTCAAATGAGAGTATATGTATATAAATAGATAGATAGATAGATAGATAGATATACTTTAATTTGTGTAGATTCAATATTGAATAAAAACAGAATACATTTAAACGGGTAAATGTTTAACTGAATAAAATAGATTTTTAAAGTGAATAAATATTATTCAGAAAGAAAAAATTTTTTTTTCTTTTTTTCAGTTACAGAAAAAAAGAGAGAGAAAATTAGTAAAAATTTACAAGAAAAGAAGTTAATATATGTCAGAGTAACTGTTAGATTTATATTTATTATGTTAGATTTAGAAATCACAGTGTTATTCATTTATGAATATTGAATTGTGTATTACTCACATATGGTAAATAAGTAGTATGATAAACATTTTTTTCGTAGTAAACTGTTTATTATGATTGCATTTAATCTAAATAAATCAACTATTTTATTTATTAATAATGATAGACATTATATATGAAAATTATATTTGAAATAATCTCAGTAATTGAACTTAAAAATGATTTCAATGTTTCGTCCAGCTAACTTGTCTGGACTTTTTCAGGATGATAATCAGAATCATCAAGAAAATATATATATTGTTTTAACAATCAAATCTACACTGTGTTAATCCGATCATAGTTGGATGTTGATTTTTAATAAATAGGATAATATGAGTCATTTAAATGCTAATCGTGTGAGCATAAATGACTGAAATGGATTGATATTTATTCTCACATCGTGAACTTTTCACACGATTTGTATTTAACCGACTCATATTATCTTATTTATTAATAATCAACATCCAACTATGATCGGATTAACGCAGTATAGATTTGATTGTTAAAACACTATATATATTTCCTTGATGGTTTTGATCATTACCCTGAAGAAGTTTAGACAAGTTAGCTGGACCAAACATTGGAATTATTTTAAATTTTAATTGCTGAGATCAGTTCAAATATAATTTTGACATAAAATGTCTTCTCTATATTCGGCGCCCAAATTTTGTCAAACTGATTGTTGTAATCTTGACGAATATTTATATAAGTTGACAATGATATACTCAATAAGCATAATCTGTTCGTTGAGTTAATAGTTTACCATCTTGTTCATACGTTGATGCTGACTGATAATTATATTGATTAGTAGGGTCAGTAGGATGATGATATTGTTGTCGGTGATGATGATTGGATTCACCCTTTATCGTTGAATTTTGTTCATAACCTGGATAACTTTTAACCGAAGCATAATCATCTTGATCAAATGAATGATCAATTGAATCAGTTTTTAAAGGTGGTAATTCTCTATTCTGTGGTCTTTCAACATTATAACAATGACGTAATAAGTACATGACTGGTACATATCCTAAAGTGATTAATGTCATAACAATATTAAGTCCAACAAATTTAATTGTATCCACAAGTCCACCAGCAACAATTGGTCCCAAGGCATAAGCTAAACTATATGAAATATCAGCGATTGCATACACTGAACCATATACTGAAACATGACGTGTATCTACAAGGAAACCCATTGTAGGCAATATTGCTGTGTCAACTAATGCAATACCATAACACAAAATACTAATAGGAATCATTAATGCAATAAAATTAGTACAGAATGGTATCAAGAAACAACTTCCTCCTTCAATAGCTAAACCAACTGCAGCCATTAACCATTGTTTACTTGGATATTTATCAGCTAACTTAATTGTTGTTATAACTCCAGCTAAATGTGGTAAAAATGCTGGTAACCATACTAAACCTTCTTGTGCATTTGTTGCTTTCATACTTTTTGACATCCAGTTTGATATTGTCGGTTCTAAAAATGCAAGTGATACATTAGCTACAGTGAGACATCCAGCACATATAGCAATATAAGGATCCATTAGTAAACGATGTATAGGAGTTCCTTTAGGTAGATTACCTTGAGTTTTTAAAACTGTTCGTTCAATTCTAACTGGTTGCATAATAATCAATAATAAGCAACCATCAAATAATGCTATAAATGCAAGTGTAATAAATGGTAATTCTTTGCCAAAATATTGATAAACTATTCCACCAAATGGAGGTGCTACTAATGAACCAAATGATATAAATGCTAAAGCTATTCCCAATGCTTTTGTACGTTCATATTCATTTGTATATCGATCAGCTATCATTGCTAAACCGGCAGTATCAGCAAAAGCTGAACCCATACCTTGTAATCCTCTAGCAATAAACATTAATCCATATGAACTACCAAACGCAAATACAGAAGTTGACAGAAATATTATACATAAACCAAACATCATTGGTACATCATAACCAATTCGATCAATTACAGTTCCTGATATAGGATTACATAATAATTGTATTATAGCTTTAAATGCAAATAATGTACCAATTTTAGTTTCAGATTGATGAATAAGCCATTTTATTTTATAATCACCATTAGTTTTATTAAAAATAAAGTTTTCATCTTCTAATCTTTTAGTATGTGTAGCATTAATCCAATAAATTTGTTTTGTATCCATTGCACGTAGATTTTGTAGATAGTCCGGAATAATTGGTACTATAACCATGTATAACATATTGTCTAATAATAGAGCTATACAAACAACAAATAAAACCATACGACGTTGTGAATTTGGTTCATTAATTTTAGACATAAATGTTTGTTTGATTGTTTCAAAATTTGTCATGGTAATGCTAAAACAAGATAACAAATAGTTATGACATTAATTTATTAAAAAGTAATTACACTTTAAAGTGCTTTTTTTTAAAAAAAAGTACTTTTCAGATATGTCAATGTGAGAAACCGTGCGTGACCAGCGGAATTCAATCATGTCGGGTGTGATACAGTTACTCTACGAAGATAATTGAAGATGGTTGCACAATATCATGGATTCGTTGAAGTTAAATATTGACACCATTGGACGCTGGCGCAGTGGTCTAGAGGTTATGCGTTCGTGCGAGGCTGAAGATTCTGGTTTCAAGTCTCGCGCGCAGGTTTGTGGATGTACATTGATGAGGAGTTCCATACTAGGATGAAATGATTATCCAGTGCTTTAAGGTTATCGATGGTGATCTAGCATTGATCGGCTCACGAATTTAATGAAACTGAGGAATTGTTGAAGACTGGACAGCTATGAGGCCGTTCAGCAATGTACACCCAGGACGCTACCAGAGCTTGAATCCGGAGCTGTAGAATCTTACGGAGGGCACGATAGCCTTAGATCACTGAAGTGCCATTGAATGACTTACGGTGCCGACTTGAACGAACTTGTGATGTGGTACAACCCTTATCATTTGTTATTGATACTAAAAATCTCAATTACAGCATTGTTGAACTGTACTGGTCAAGATTTTGCACCAGAAGTTCGAAATTTCATCTCAAGGCCGATCACTAGTGATCAAACGATGGAATGCAGGCTATGGAACTCAATCATGTAGTTCGCGTAATATGAAACTATACTAGGCGTGTATCTAAGGGATAATAATAATAATAAATAACCTAATGTGATCCATTGGTTGGTATCAAAAAAGGAGGCTACACTTTAGTATCTAAAAAAATAAGAGTTATCACCTTTTTGTTACAAAGGTGATCTGAGACATATCCAAAACTACTTGCTTCTTAAAAAGCGTTAGATACTTTATCTTATCACTTATTTCTATCTACTTTTATTGCTGGCTTCTACTATTATTTTTATTATTATTATATTAAACGACCATTTTGGTGGCATGCTCATGATATTTATTTTGAAGACTTTTCGAGCTATATATATTGTTTTCATAACAACTGTGTTCAATAAATAATATATTTGTAATATCCCAATGAGTAGAAAAATTAGATTTTCTGACAGTTCGTGACTTAGTGTAAGTCACTTCTTCAGAGGTTATTACAAATATATTATTTATTCATAACAATCTACCCAATGCTCAATTTATTCGAAATTATCAAATCAAACCTTGGTAATGATACCTATAGCTGGTGTATGTGCTTGGTTCAAAGATCAGTGGTGTAAAGTTACCATACGAGTGATTAAAGTGAAACACCATTAAGTTTAAATTTTGACAATAATTCCAACCATATCTAACACTAAAGTAGGCAGTCTTTATGTCATCATTTTGGTATCTAAATTAGACTATACGTGCATCTGCACTTATTAACCCTGTTATTACTACTATTGAAACGATCATTATCAATTTTCAAGACATTCCGGTCAATAAGGTGATACTAGAATGTTCATAGATGAACCATTATCTTGCCGGCGAAATTTCGTATTTAAACATTTATCATACTACACAGTATTTAGTCTTATCAGTTTTATACATTGCCTGAGGGATTGATTCTTATTCATATTTCTTATATTACTGGAATTAATTTGTAAAGTATTTGTGTTTACGTACGCGTATATTACTGAGTAAGCTAATTCCTTCTATATTCAATGAAAATAAAAGCAGACCAAAGATTTCAACGGAAAAATAGAAATTATTCATATTTTAACAAATGTTGACACCGTTCGAAAACTATTTTATTCCAGAGAGTTTTATTTTACTGTAGAACCTTTCACTAATGTTCATTGGTAAATAGATCATAAGTGTATTTTCTAAGTTTTATAAAGAAGTCCTAACTATTAGAGCGTAGACATGAACAATAAATGTAGAACAATATTATTTGTGAATTATGATGTTGGATATGTCAACCACTGAATTCCAACAGAACGATATAATGACAGAGTACTTACTTTTAATTCCAAAAATCGTATGTTTTATTCAGTCTTGTACCATGAGTTTGTATTGATGTTGATCTCCATTTTTTAAAACAGCATACATTCAGTGCCCTTTGGTTTTAAAGTGTCAGTTCTAATTTTTCTTAAGCCACATGATTATTTTACCGCTATTCTAGTTCTATTTAAACTATGAAGTTTATTTTTTCTAATTACAGAATACTCCCTTTGTTTTAATATTAAGAAATAAAAGTATAATACATAGTCACATTCTATCAGGCTATATTTTTTAATGGTACTTGGTCACGTCAAGTTTATTATGTCACATCTATGTAAATTATTTTCCCCTCTTGACTGTATATTCTACTTTTACATCGACAATGGGTTCAAATTAAAGAATGGCGGACCTTTTGGAGATAATTATCTTTAAGTATTCTTCATACATGATTGTAGTATAATACAGGAATCTCTCCAGGATTTTATGTAAATATATATATATATATATATATATATATATAAGACAATCAATAGGGTTGTGGTGTGGTTTACTTATATTCACATAAGTAGTATATAATGGTGGTCAGGCATAGAATATATTTCAGTAGAAGATCGAGAAGGAAAGAACGGGAACGCAATGCAATTGGTACAAAATGCATGAACAATGAAATCTGAGACAAGATACTGATATTTGTAAAGGAACAGTGATGTTTGAGATGATGGATTGATATTTTGCAAATTAACTATTTACTATATGGTTCTCAGATTTTATTGAGATGCTCTGTAATTTTGTGCTCAAATATATTCGATTGTCCCCACTGGTGTTTTGTTCACTACTACAGGGTCAGTGATATAATTATCAGATCTATATTCATTGCATTATCAACTGATATGAATATTTAATTATCACATTATTAGATTAACAGAGTTCACCAACTACATCAAGATGATTTCGTGAAACTCAGTCCGATCAAATGAAGAATTTAGTTACATTATTATTGATTTTTATCCTTAATCTGTAAGAAATTGAAAAGTATCCTAAATAAATTATACCAATCAATTACATTTTATATTTATATTATAACTTGTCTTTTATACTTTCATTAACCCGAATAAAATAATACAAAATGAATCTTATTTAACTTGAAGAACTAAGTTCAAATATTATTGTTACAATATGATTATTGATGTATAAATTATTAATATGATGATTTATAAAATTTACTTACTTACGCCTGTTACTCCCAATGGAGCATAGGCCGCCGACTAGCATTCTCCAATCCACTTATAAAGTTTAACCTAAGAGTATTAAATGATCCTTTTATTCTTGACTAATATATTAAACTATTCAGTTATACCTATCACAACCAGAATATTATTACAATGTTAAATAACGACATTAAAGAAATGTAAACATTTTAACAATTTACCTTCAAATGGTTGGTATTAATTCCATTTTGTAAAATGTTTCACTATTAAACAAATAAATAACTAAATACTGGAATAAAACAATGGGTTAGATACTATGAGAAGTTTATGGAGATTTATTAAGTTCCATGGTTAACACTATGGACTGATTTAAGTTAAACTATTACTGAATGCTTAGGATCAACTTGCTTTCAGGTTTTCAATGATTGTTTAACTAAAAGAAGCTCATGATAATAACTAGTGAATAAGAGCTTGAAATGAATTGTAATAAAGTGTAAACAAGCTTACGAATGAGTTTGTTGTGTTACAAAACAACGTGTTTTTAAAAAAAAGTTTTGTTTATCAAACACAATCTGAACAATTATAGAAACTTTAAAAAGGTTGACTTTCCCTAAGAATTTCTTATGTTTAATAATTTTACTGCTCGAATTTCAGATTTCTTTAAAACAATGAATATAGGTTATAAATGTATATAATAGGCATCAGTTATTTAGTCTCAGTTGATGAAGTCTTAGAAATGTTGAACGTTGACTACATGTGCGATTGAATTAGGTATCGTAGTTCTGAAGATATAATTAAATCACTGTTTTGGGATAAAATAGTATCATGTTTATCCCATGTTGCTCAGTTTAGGACAGCTTACAATGTAGTGAACAAAACACCAGTGGGGACAATCGAATATATTTGAGCACAAAATTACAGAGCATCTCAATAAAATCTGAGAACCATATAGTAAATAGTTAATTTGCAAAATATCAATCCATCATCTCAAACATCACTGTTCCTTTACAAATATCAGTATCTTGTCTCAGATTTCATTGTTCATGCATTTTCATATCAATTGCGTTCTGTTCCCATTCTTTGCATCTCGATCTTCTACTGAAATATATTCTATGCCTGACCACCATTATATACTACTTATGTGGATATAAGTAACCCACACTATAACAATAGTCATCCAGAGTTCTTGGTAAATTATTGTCATATTTCTCAAATGGTTGTGTTAGTTTCACAAAACCACCGAAAAATTAACTTCACGATAAAAATCTAGGATTACAGGTTTTAGTTCATTTTTGGCTTTAAATGTTGATTACTTATCTGGAAACCAGAAGTTTCTAGCCTGTAGGTTCTGATTGCTGACAAGTGGAAGACTATAATGAAATAATTGACTATATTCTTGAGTTTTTAATAGTCCTCCTTCTTCCCAGTTCATAACGAATTGGGAAGGAAACCACTTCCAGGTTACATAATATCCTCACCAATCCATATGAATTATTAATTAAATAATTTATTTATGCATATTTTGAAGTTAACAGTTTTATTCTTTGAATTTCAGTTCTTTTTGTTCTAATAAAATTAAATTTGATTCAAAATCCAGTGTACTAGGATTGAGAATTCAGTCGGTATTATTTGTGGTGAAATAGCTTAATGTCTATAAACTTAGCATTAAAACTACATTTATTTTTGTTGAATCACTCGAAATTCATATTTCAACTACCATTTAAGGGACTTTACAAAAGCCATAACACTAAATACTAAATACATTA